TTTTAATTGTGTTAATTATACTGACACTTTTGCTGCTTTTATTGAGGCCGTAGGCCAATATGGCCCAAGAATGAAGCCTCCAACTTATTATGAAGTTTGAGGGCCATATCTAAAAAAAGAGGTGGCAGAGGTGAACAAAATCGTGGAGGAGCACAAAGTAGAATGGAACCAGTTTGGTTGTTCCATTATGATGGATAAGTGGACGGCGAGAAATGGAAAAATGATCATCAATATCTTGGTGAATTCTCCTAAGGGAAGCCTGTTTCTTGAGTCCGTTGATGCAAGCGACTCTTCGACTGATTCAACCAAAATGTACTCCTTGTTCAAGAGTACAATAGACTCTATTGGAGCAGAAAATGTTGTTCAAGTTGTCACGGACAACGCCAGTGAAAATGTTAAAGCTGGCAATTTGATGTCTGCTGGGTACCCGCATATTTATTGGACTCCGTGTGCAGCACATTCCATTAATTTGATCTTTGGTGACATTTTCAAGGAAAGACCCTTTAGTTCAATCTTTAATCAGGCAATTAGAGTGCATTCCTATATTGTTCAAAGGCCTTTGTTATTGAATATGATGAAGAGATTCACTAAACAAAGAAGCTTGGTGAAACCCGCAAAGACAAGATTTGCTACTGCTTTCTTGACTTTGCATAGGATGTATGAGCAAAAAAGCAATTTGAAGAAGTTGTTTGTTTCAGATGAGTACACTAACAGTGCCTATGGAAGGGAAGCTCGAGGGAGAGAATCTGCAGATATTATACTTTCTCCTTCATTCTGGAACAATGTGGTTCATGCATTGAAGATTGGTGGTCCTTTAGTTAAAGTGCTTCGTTTGGTGGATGGGGAGCAAAGGCCACCAATGGGCTACTTGTACGAAGCAATTGATAGGGCAAAGGAAGCTATTTAAGCCTCTTTTAGTGATCAAAGAAAATACAAAAGAGTCTTTGAGATCATAGATAAAAGGTAGGATAGTAAGCTTCATAGCCCTTTGCATGCAGCTGGACTTGTTTTGAACCCGGAACTGTTTTATTACAATGAAGAGAGGATTCTAGGAGATGAACCTTTGTGGAATGGATACTATGAATGTATTGAGAAGTTGATACCTGAAGAATCCGTGCAAGATAAAATCACAGAGCAATTTAGTATTTATAGGAATGCTGAGCAACTTTTTGGAAAAAACATAGCCATTAGACAAAGAAAGATGAAGTTACTAGGTGAGCGAGTGCTTATATGTTGTTTTATAGTTAATAAGTTATTTCTTTATCAATATTATGTTTTGAAAATTTGTTCTACTTCTACAGTTGAATGGTGGAAGCAATATGGCCATTCCACTCCAGATTTACAAAAGTTTGCCATCAAGGTTCTAAGTCTAACATGTAGCTCATCCGGGTGTGAAAGGAATTGGAGCGTGTTTGAACATGTAAGAACTAAGAAGAAAGATTTAGTATATTGAGATAATTAAATTATATCTCAATTGTCCTAATCTTACTACTTACTTATTATTTGCAGATTCATACCAAAAAGAGGAACAAACTAACCTTGAAGCGTCTCAATGATCTAGTCTTTATTAAGTACAATAGAACATTGAGGCGTCGTTACAACGCTCGCAATGTAATTGATCCAATTAGTTTGGACAACATCGATGATGCTAATGAATGGCTAACTAGAGTCGCGGAAGATCATGCAGATGAAGAAGTATTTGAGGATACTTCTGATTTCACTTGGGGTGATGTTGCGGAGGCGCGTGGAATTGGGGAGAGGGTTTATGGTTTGAGAGGGAGTACCTCAACTTCAAGTTCACAGAGGAAGGGAAAACAGGCAACTACTTTGTCCCTAGTTGATGAAGAAGATGAAGTTGAAGAAGATGATGAGCAATATAATAGTGATAGTAGAATACAAGAATTTGACAATCTTGTAGAAGAATAGGATGCTTATTTTGTGCTTTAATTGATGCTACTCTTTAGTTTTTTAATTGAAGTATTGAACATTTGCTTACAATTACATGTGTTATCTATGCAATATTTATTTTAATTTTTTTTTTAAAAATTCCGCCTCGCTTCTCGCTTTTCGTGAAATGGGGGTTGTCGCTTTTCCTCACTTCACGCTCTTCACAACACTGGTAGCCCCATAACAACCGGAAAATGCTCCGAGACACCTCCCACTGTCCTAACCCGAGTCTTAGCTCCATCATACATGTCCTTAATCACCCTAATGTAAGCAACCGACACACCTTTTGCCTCCAAGCATCTCCATAGAACCTCTCTAGGAACCTTATCATACGCTTTCTCCTGATCAATAAACACCATATGAAGATCCTTCTTCCCATCCCTATACAGCTCCACCAGCCTCCTAATAAGGTGGATAATTTTCGTAGTAGAACGCCCCGACATGAACCTGAAGAAGTACTCAAAAATAACGTGATAGATAAAGGGTCATAGTGAGAATCAATTCCTAGAGAGAAGAGGTGGGAGGGCATGTGGGCAAGCGGGGCCATTATCGTTTCCCAATGCATCCTTATTCAAAAATGGCTTCCTTTATTATGTTTGTTGCCCTTAATCCTTAAGCATAAAAGTAAATTGGTCTATCATGTAATGGTGTGTAAGCCCTCAAAGCAATATAGGCACTAGTATTACTTTATCATTGCTAGTTCTAATGGTTCCTTCTAATTGCATGGCTAATTTAGTAATTATGTCACACATAGGTTGAAGTTTTAACCTGTAACTTTCAAAACTTTATTGGTCCATTCAATTTTAGTTACTAATTTGTCGTTTTTTTTGTTGTTGACTGTAAACCACTCATTTGTTCACGTGGTGCCTATTTCTTATCTCTATTATTTCAGAATAAATTCATTTATCAATGTTGAAGACATAATTAAGTATTTAAATGTGTGCTCTCTCTAACAGCTTAAACTTTAGATGAGATGGTTACACACTTCAACATGGTACTAGAGCAGGCAGGGGTCTTGGTTTCTAGTCTCACCGCCACTCACTGTCAAAAAGAATTTCCACATGCTTGGCCCATAAAAAGAAATCAAGCCTCCACGTGAGGGGGCATGTTGGCAATATAATTAAGTAAATTAAAGTGTGCTCTTTCAAACAGCTTAAGCTTTTAGATGAGATGCTCTTACACTTCAATAATATAAAAAGATACTGCATAGTAATTTGGCAATTAGTTGTGTGCGAAATTTCTTGGTCCCATCCTTTATGCGTTACAGAACTACCAATGCTCTATATGATTTGATTTGAAGGCTTCTTTTGTTCCTGTAGGTTTTCAACAGCTTATCTAACAGTATTGCGATTTCAGGCTTTCCTTGCCTTGGAGTATTGTTGCAAAAATTGGAGAGTCCAGCACTTCGTGCCTGCTTGAAAGTGCCTTCGAATGAGGTTTGGTTTTGTAGCTAGATATATGAAGATGTCCTTATTGAGTTGAATAAGCACTTTATAACAGATATCTTTCTTTATGGAGTTCCTTACTTATTCTTTTATTGGTCATTGTCTATTTGTGGGGGAGGGGAAGAGAGGAGAGATCGAATTCCCATATTCGAACGAAAATGAAACCCCTTTTTTCTTTTTAATTTAGCTGTTTGTTTGTTCTTGTTTCCCAGTAGCGCTGTAGAAGTCTTCAAACAACTTTGTTACTACTAGAGAGAGAATGGGTACTACAACAACATGAGTAGTGTGAGAGAAGGGGAAGGATCCAGTGGCTAAAGTTCTACAGAGAGAGAAAGGGGCTTGTTGTGGAGAATTCAGAAAATCAGGACAGAATCTTTGTTTAAGGCCTTAAATATGAGAGAAAAGGTGGACATTTAAATAAAACACTGTTATCTCCAATTATACAGTGCCAGTTATCAGTTAAAAACACTGCCATCTCCAATTACTGTTCCATTGTAATTATACCAAGCAGATTTGGTCTATGTTTATTGATATCTTTGGAATCAATGGGTCATGCCAGGAATCATTTAGCATGAAGTAATCAGTTGGTAGTCAGTCATCAGATAAGGGAAGCAGTCTCTACTGGAATGCAGTACCTAGTTGCATTTTTTGAACACCTGGCTAGAGAGAAAAAATAGATGTCTTTATGGAAAAGTGGCAAATATCTTATGTTTAATCTAGATGTTTGAATAGTTTTTTGTGGTGTAAGAAAATTGTTGTATCTATAGTTTCACTGTCAGATCTATTGAACTCCTCCAATATCTAGGAGAAGGAAGTCATTTCTGATGTATTCTCTTTATACCTTCTTGTGGTACTCAAAGAAAATTCCTTACCTTTGCATCCAAAAAGAAGTTATCATTTAAAACATGTGAAAAGTGAGTTAAAGAAAATAGAATAAGTGTCATTTGGTTTCTATCTTGGGAAAAGTGAGTTCATCTGGGTAGGGATTGAGCCGAGTAAAGGCTCCAGGCTGACATCTTTTAACACATAAATGATCTGTTTAGAGTGGAAATTCCCTTATTGAGTAACATCAATGATATCCTCTTCTGCAACATTGCTGGATCTTGTTGAAGGATCTGTTATGAGCATTCAAGTCTCTAATTGTGTGTACCCCTTCAATTTGGTCAATCATGTAATTAGGTGATATAACCTGTCAACTGAGCGCTTTTATCAACTTAGATATTTCTAATTTATGCCTCATCAGAAAGCAAACCTATTTTGCATTTGTCAATTGAAGATGCCTGGGGCAATAATGTGCTCGAGGCATTCAAGTATAGTGTTTGCTGATAGTATCTGTATGGAAAGGTTAATCACTAATCTCTAGATATCCTTGTTCAATACATGATTGGTAATTGATTTGCAGGGCGTACTCGTGCGGAAAGTTGAGCCTACTTCTGATGTTAGCAATGTCTTGAAAGAGGTACCATCAATTTGTAACTGTTCATGAACCTTTTGACTTCTAGAGATTTTGCTGTTATGCATGATTATGTTCTATGACATTTGAGCGTACTCGTGCATTCTGTTTTACTTGTTAATGTCCTCAAAGCTTATAACCCTTAATGGGTTGGCAGGACCATGAAAATAAGATTTTTTTTAATGGGAGTCAGAATTAGTGCGTAGCTGAGACGCGTAAAATGGAATTGTATTTCATGAGAAGCTCGCTGAAAGTAATCGCTTATAATAAAAGCCTCAAACCAATTATGAGGTCTATGAGGCTAAGGCTGAATCAGCCGATATTGTTTACTGTACGAATCTGTGAATCATATCACAACTAAGGATCTGGCGACGAGTGTTTCATAGGCGGATCTAAGTTAGAGATAAAGAACACCATTAAAAACTTATCTTGTTGTGCCCATTATTTTGGAGAGTTGGTTATAATAGGCATCAATATATAAAATTTCAACCTTTTCTGAGATGAGTTTCCATGTTTAGATCTGATTTCTTCAAATCTCGTCAACTTATCAAGAACATGACAAATTCTACTGAGACGGCTATTGTACAAAGGTTTACCCTGACGCTAAGAACAGATTGGCAAGTCTTAAGAGACCAAAAGAAACTGGCTTTGGGTCTAGTGCTTTCATGAGAGTCTAGACTATTGAGCATCAACTCTCTCCTACACAAGCTTTTTATTTGCTGAAATCTCTTGAATAGTCTAATTAGATGGTCAGTAATTCTTTTTCATGAACCACAATTAGATTGCACTAGACCAAGAATAGTAATTTTGCAACCTAACTTCCTTCTCTTAGTAATTGTATGGTCACAAGAGATGTGAGGATAGGCATCGAAATAGCCCCTGAAGGGTTTGGATAGTTGCAGGAGTGAATTTTGTGAATTCTAGAAACTATTACACCTGTCTACTGTGTTGGTATATTGGTCCGAGATTTCAAAGAGGACAAATATGATTTGAAGATGCCCGGCCTAGACTTAGTCGGGAATTCTAAGACGCTAAAATAGAAAAGTTTCTCCATGCTAAATCTTAATACAATGTAGAGAATCACTTAGATGAATGAGTAGAAAGTTTTAGAATATGTGGGAGATTGTCTCTCCGCTACAATATAGGGTAGCTTTATTCATAAACTCCTAATATATTATGATTTATGGTACTCTAATCCCATTGATAATAGGACACCATTTCTAATTACACTTATTGTTTGATACGATTTCCTAATTCCACCATTTGTAGTTTTACCGTAATTACAATCAATAGCAACTAATATAGATTGGGGATCCAGCTGTACCATTTGTATTCATGCCATTCATTTTTACAACATTGATTAACTAAGCACTACAGATGTGATTTCTGCAACTCATAATTGATCCTTCATGTAAAAGTGAAGATGAATCTATGAAAATAATTGATGGACATAAGTATCCATTCCGAGTTCAGGGATCATGGTTCAATAAATGTGTTTCTACAACTCATAAGGGTTTGGGGATGAGTGATGGGACTTGAGTATCCTTTCTGAGTTTGGGGATCAAGTTGCAAGAGGATGGGGTTATTATCCTAGGACCAGCTTAATGACTTGGAAAAGTAGAGTGTAGTGTATCTTTGATCATTTTTAGTTAGTCCACCTATTTCGCATTGGTATACCTGTCTCTTTGGCAGGGTTAGTTTTTCCATTATCATTAGGATGTTATTATGGTAATGTCACGAGGTTGGATAATACTTGGTTCATCTTTTTCAGGGAGACGTGATTGTTAGCTTTGATGGTGTCCGTATCGGGTGTGAAGGGACAGTGCCATTTCGATCAAGTGCACGCATTGCATTTCGCTATCTCATCAGTCAAAAGTAAAGCTTAGTTACTTCCAGAGAAATTAGATTTACATTTAAGCATAATCCCAAAAGCAATACAATGTTGACAAAAATTAGTCACTTCATTTTCAGTTTGAATAACTAACTTTGGAACTGCTTCTTAAATGGTAATGCCAAATTTGCAAGAAACTACTCTGATGTTTTCTGCATCAAAATTCATCTTCATTTGATTTTTCTTTGGCTAGTGGGGTCATTATCGTCTTAAACTACAATCAGGATTAACTGGTAAATTATTCTATTTCATTGATGACTTAATCCACTGAATCCTTAGCATCAAATTTGAATGTCCTCATGCTCCCTAGTCATATTACCCCCCTTATTGTAAAGTTTGCACATATGCCTGTTTATATGTTACACAAAGGTTTTGTACTCTTCAGGTTCACTGGTGATGTAGCCGAGCTTGGTATTATTAGAGCTGGGGAATTCATGAAAGTTCAAGCACTTTTGAAGCCACGTGTGCATTTGGTATGTTCGCTGGCCCTTTGTTTCTTTGTTGACACCATCATTTAATCTCTGTATAATTGATTTAAATCAGTTGCTCTCTTCTGAAGGTTCCTTATCACATAGAATGCGGTCAGCCTTCATACCTAATAGTTGCCGGCTTGGTGTTTACACCACTATCCGAACCCTTAATAGGGTAAGATTACTAAAGATATCCTTGTATTTTCTTAATGGGGCTAGCGTTCTGTTATCTCGTCGAGTAGATTCTGGTGCACCAATTCTCAGACTGAAATCAATTTTTTCATCTTTGTTTGCCAGGGAAGAATGTGAAGATAGCATAGGGGTGAGTCACAAATGGGTGATTGCTCACAAGATTACAAACATTCTACTATGGTTGAAATTAACTGGTTTCTATGAATTTTGTCAGCTAAAACTATTGACAAAGGCTCGATACTCTTTGGCAAAGTTCGAAGGAGAACAGATTGTTGTGCTATCACAGGTATATAAAGAGAAAATCTCAGTCTTTGACAATCAATCTGCAACCCCGAACCACTTGCTGTTTTTCGTATTGGACTTGAAAGTTTGAACACACCCAGCCCCGAGTCAGTGCCACCTCTTTTATGATGCTGACGGGTTAAATCTAAGTAAGGAATGCCATGTTGGTAATCGTTATTTTACTTACAGGTCTTGGCGAATGAAGTGAATATCGGGTACGAGGATATAAGCAATGAGCAGGCAAGTTATTTTCCACTTTGATTTCATAATCCTTCCCAAGTTTAATCAAGAAGAATAATTGGTTTGTACATCAAAGTTCCATTTTTAGTCATTTATATTGCTTGAATGAAATCTCAAATAGCAATTTCTTGGCAGATCTTGAAGTTGAATGGCACTCGAATTAAGAACATTCACCATTTGGCTCATCTAGTGGATTGTAAGTGTTGGTACAGATAATCATTTGAGCTTTTGTTACTCTAACCTGAGCAGTTATGAATGGTCATATATGTTTATTCATGCAGCTTGCAAGGATAAATATCTAGTGCTCGAGTTTGAGGACAACTTTCTGGTTGTTTTGGAAAGGGAAGCAGCCGTATCTGCATCACCTAGTATTCTTAAAGACTACGGAATTCCAGCTGAAAGATCATCCGATCTTTTGGAACCATATATTGATTCCGTCAGACCAGATGAAGCAACCGATCAACACGAGTTTGGTGATAGTCCAGTTTCTAATTCAGAATTCGGCTACGAAGGGCTTCTTTGGTCTTGATCATGACCTATTAAGTTCAGTTTAGCTTCTCACCTGGAGCCTTCTTTAGATATCATCTCTAAGATGGTTTACTTTGGCAGTTATTTGTTCCTTGATACTTGACCGGAAAAAGACACAGATGACCAGGCAATATTTTGTCCATGAAGAATCTGTATAGTAGGGCTTTAGTGCTGTCCTTTTTGCCAAAGCAATTGCAAAATTGGCCAAAAAAGTGGATAATCATTTTCCAGTACAAATGGAGGTTGCAGCAAAAAATGTCCTCCAGTTGAAATTAGTGTGGGTGGAAATGTTGTACTATAGATTAGGCATGGAGCATTTTTGAGTTTTTTTGAGTTTTTTTTTTTTTTTTTGTTTCACGGGTAGGATGTAGTCTCCCTTTAGGGAACATGCTTTTCTTTATTTATTTTTATGTTTTGTAATTGACACGATTCAATTTTGACAACAATTAATAAAAGAGCTTACCCTATGTTTCGCAAATAGTTCTATTTACATAAACTATCATCCTAAGTAAGACATTTTTGTACGTAATGACGGCCTACATTTTAGTCATTTCAATTTTAGTCGTCAGGTGAGTTTGTTTTTTAAATTGTAAATTTTAATCATTCATATCTCAATTAGCCATGTCGCCAACCATCCGTCGCCACTACCATTATGTATCACCATCATCTACCACAATTATCAGCCACAATGTAAATTACTGCCATCAACTACCACCATCACCAATAGCTGTTATTCACAACCACCACCTACCACTGCTAGTCAGCATTACCACCGTTAGCCTTCACCTCCATCACTATATAAACTTAATTTTCTAATATTTTATTGATGTAATATTAAATTAATTAATATTTATTTAAATTTTATATTTATTAATTTTCAATAAAGACAAACTTTACATTCAAATGTCGAGAAAATAAAGGTTCTAAGTTATTTAGTTTGTAAATATCTTAATAATAAGATCTTAATATTCATACTTATTCACCATTAGTTTCAACATTCGAGATCAAAGTTTCAATAGAAAATGTCTATTTATTATAATTATTTGAACTCAATCTATGAAGTTGGCTCAGGCTGGCCTATGTGGGTAGCCTTGGGTTTAAAGTGAATGCTGGACACAATAGTCAAGCTGTCATTTGCTGCTCTCGAAGATTTGTTTTTCCAAGAAAGCACTGCATATATCTGTTTTCAGTTTGATTCATCGATTAAAGTTGCTGTGGGGAGTCCAAAACTTTTTTGATGTTTTTTTGGACACAAAATACTTTTATTCTGCTAAAAAAAAAGTTACATAAATGAGTAAGACGCAGTACTATACTGCAAACTACATTAACGGAAATGAGTTTGTTAAAGTAAAATGCAGTACTATACTGCGTTTTACTTTAATCTTTTTTTTTGTAATTCGCAGTACCGTACTGCGTTTTACATCAATTTTTTTTTGTAATTCGCATTATAATACTGCGTTTTATAAAGTTGTTCGCTGCGTTTTACCTAAAACGTAGTATAATACTGCGAACAGCTTTATAAAACGCAGCCCCTTCTTCTTCTTCCTTGGACCACTGAACGCAGCCCCTTCTTGTTTAAAAATTTCGATTGTTCTAGTCCCCCCTTCCCCACCCCGTGACAAACTTAAAAAAAAAAATTCGGCCCCACCCGTCACCTAAAGAGCAAGGAGTGTAGGTCTCACATACAAGACAAGCTTTGGATTCCTTCTTTCGGGTGCAAAAATTCGATTTCAATCAAATTCAAAAAACTTAAATCAAGGTATTTCGATTGTGTTTATATCGAAACTCGTATAGTACATGCATATTTGTATTGTTTAATGTGTTTCCATGTTAATTTGTGTTATGTTTGTGTTTAAATTTGTATCTTATTTATACCCGGACTAATTTATTAGCTTTGGTACAAAAAATTATTAAAATTTGATAAATTATTTGTATTGTTAAAAAATTAATATTATTTATTTTGTTTGTTGTTCATATTTGTATTTTATGTTAGTTGTTTTTATATGTAATANCACATACAAGACAAGCTTTGGATTCCTTCTTTCGGGTGCAAAAATTCGATTTCAATCAAATTCAAAAAACTTAAATCAAGGTATTTCGATTGTGTTTATATCGAAACTCGTATAGTACATGCATATTTGTATTGTTTAATGTGTTTCCATGTTAATTTGTGTT